GGGAAAGAAAACAAAAACAAAGCCTGCAAGGGTTCACCTCCCCTTATAACAAAAGGGAACTACAAATCCAAAGCGGCTTCAAAAATGAAGCATTCGCCTAATTTCTTTATTGCTTATGTATCTGTAGAGCACATGACTGATAACTCCCTTTAGTAAGGATACCTTAACTTATGTCAGAGTCTTTTTAACAATTTTGAAATTAAGAAGCATTAATATAAAACTATATATTTTCTTCTCTTCCTTGATATAGAAGTAAGCCATCTAAAGTGCTCCAGTGTTTTTTTTGCCAATTTGCCATCTTCTGTAAAATGGCAAAAAATTGTTACAAACACATTTGCCAAAAAGTGTGGCAAAAAAGAATTTAGAGGAAGGCTACTGGTTTATTTGTATTGTTCCACTAGACAGTGGGCTTTTTTAGATGTTAATTTTTAAATGACGATTTCAGAGTTAAAGGAAATAGAATGCCAGTTGTTCAGGCTTTACAGCATTCACTAGAGGACCTATATTGGCATCATAAATTCTTACTGTAAGTTAGAGCTCTATCTCTTAATGTCTCAAGATGCTGTATTCTGCAGTTTTATTTCCTTCTTGGAAAGCAAGTAGGATATTTGCTAGGAAAATACTTTTACTGAGAAATACTGGAACTTAATTAGTATTTTGGATGACCCACATAAAATGGGAATTATGTTGTTTTTACATAAGCCTATCTGGTGATACTAAACCTAGATAATCAGCTTCGATGGAGATCAAGTCTTTGCTGCAAACGTATAAAAATATCTAGCTGGCTTATTAGCCTACAATTCACATCAGAAAATGATCTAGACTTGATGGGAGTTTAGAAGCCTTAAATCATATAGGAAATCTTCATATTTTTGTTCTACATAATTGGAGCTGAACTGTAAGAGCTTTCTGAACACTTTGGGAAACAGTAATAATTTCACAAGTTTATGAAGCCACCAAAGCTGTGAAGTCATTGATTTCTTTGTTGAGAGTTCACATACAAACAAACACGAGAAGAACGTATTTAGCTCATTTCCATACCACTGAATGGGACTCTGAGCATCTCAGAATCCTATATGAAAGGACTTTACTATATAAATTTGATATAGAAATTTGATATTTCACACAGATTTTAGAAAGGATAGAGAGTGGCAAATTGTAGCTGGATGAGGAAGTGAATATTTGTAATTAACATGACCCCAGAAGAATATATTTGGCAAAAATACCTTTCCTTGTGAGTGTTCTTTTGTAGTTTGTCATTATACATGCAGAACAAAACACCACCAAGTGTAAGATCATCTTTATCCTTACAAAACATCAGTATTATGGAATGATACAATTATGTCCTATTCTGACAGCATCATCAGAATACCACAGGAATTCACTATTTGCAGAAATCTAGCAGTTTAAATAAAGAATTAAAGGTCACAATCAATAGATAGCAACTAGATTTCAAGACTAAGTGGATTGTCATATCCAGAAGTATTTTCGTTAGCATGCCCATAGGGAAGAAAAGCTAAGGGAAATACAATCTGCTTTCCCTTCATGTCAGTTGCACCTCTGAAGTCTTGAAAATACTTAGAGATGTGTTTTGTACTTAAGTAGAGCAAAGGAGTATGCAGCCTGTCCAAAGTCACTCTCTAAAAAGTAAGATTTTTCACCTGTGTTCTTACTGCAATCCACATACACTCACAAGATGTGGAGTTACTGCAAAATATTTGCCACTGACAAACAAGTGTCTAAAAATGAAAAAATGTATCAATAAACATATAGTCAACAACCTGCAGTTACTTAGCGATAACCACTATTTCACAATAATTAAGGTCGTCCCCCCTCTAGGGTTTAAAGGTTGCACACTGCTGGTACAGCACTACGCACAGTAGGGAAGGCCAAACGTGCCTAACAGTCACAAGACACTGATCTTAATGAAACCTGCCAGTCTGTCAGCATAGCACCACTACTCTTTACGAATTTGAAGAATGAGGTAATACAAGCGTTTGGGAAGGGAGTTCAGAAATAAAGTCAATGGCATAAACCACAAAACAATCAATGCTATTCTTGTGTTCCTAAAATGTATAAGGAAATCCAGAAGAGAACTAAATATGGTTATTTCTTTAATGTAAGAATAGAATTACAAAGATTTTGTTCAATTAAATTCACTATAATGTATGCTGGTGAGTCTTGCAGTCCAGTCATCGGGGGAAAAAAGAGGCCTATCTGAACTATATGGCAATTCCTTTAATAACTCTTTAGTTGATATCTGACTGAAAGGAACAGGAAAATTAGAGGGCAAAGCTTAGGTATTTCCTGTGGAGAAAATTTGAAGCATCCCAGAGAGGTGAGGGTATATTATCTTGGTAGATGAGTACTCAGCAAGTTTCTGATGGCAGATCGTTCTATAATGAATCATTCCTGTGGAGTGGTAACTTCATCAGTGGAGGTCTTGATGTCATCTGTGACAGCTGCTGTTCGTCTGGTAGAAGCAGATGCTGAACATGCTCTCTTGTGCAGCACAGAAAGACAGACTGTAGCTGCTATGAGGATGTGGAGATAAGAGGGATCTGGTTGCTGACAAACCGGCAGCACAGCAGCAACAACTCTGGTGCCTACACCAGGCTGTTATGGCACAGGTGACCACATCTTACTGCTCAGAAACAGCTGGTACCCAGCAGGTGATCAGGGCAGCAGGCACTTGGCTTATACCATGATGCCTTACTGCAAATGAGTTTTGACAGAGCCCAGTGACAGACTGTTACGTTGGGACATGAATACCCCAACCAAAGCAGGATGTTTTTTGTGCAAGCTCAGCACAACACAATTACCAGTAACTAGAGAGATCAATGGCATATCTTGTGCTATAATCAGTAGTCTGACATACATAACTAAAGAAAAGTCAATGCTTATTCATGTGTGAAACATGTAAGAAGTTTCTTCCTGACTTCTTGGTTTAGCACAATACTTTCCACAGATTTCATTTCTTTCTGAACTCTTCAGAACATCCACACCAAATGCCTGTCCACACGTTGCCAAGTAACTCTGGATAGTCATCCCCATGAAAGAGGGGAAGCATTGTCTGCCATCTCTGGCTTCAGCCATCTCCTCTTTTACCCCAGCTCTGGTTCTCTTTGGACCCATCTCTGAGTTGATGCAATGTTTTACCAGTGGCTCATTAGGAAACAATATCATAATTTTCTTCCCCCCACTCCCGCACTAGTTTTCTCTTAGGTTAAAGAGTTAATTCACCTCATGGAAGCTCAAAAAAGTGCCAGAGATGACGCAAAGGGAAGTGGTGGGAATGCATGGCCCCTAGCAGAAAACAAGGTGAACTGATGCTTACCCTGTCTCAATTCACCCTTGGGATCAGAGTGCTCAATGAGAAAGTTGGTCAATCAAGGCTTAGACTGATGCCACTGGGGGGCCATTCCAGGAGATTTTGAAAGAAGACACTAAGATACATAAATACGTGAGACTATATTTTAATGAGCAATTTGATTTGAGCCATTACTAGGCTGGCTAATCATACATCATAAAAAGCTGTTTTAAAGTTGTAATAAATGAAATCTTTAAAGAGGTAAAAACCAGACAAGACCCAGAGCAGTCTCTCAGTAACAACTTTCAAATGCACGCTATAAAATTATGTTTTTCCTACTCATTATAATGACAACTAAGAGAATTTAAAAATACATATGCTACAGGCTTAATTTTAAAAAAAACCCTATTAACATGGCATGAATGAATCAACAGTTCAAACAATGCTTTAAACTTTATACCTAACTTCTAATTAAGGGGTCATCCTCACTTTTTTCCCCCAAGAATAAAGGCTACTATAACTTTCAGAAATGGAGACCTAGAACAATTTAAATGATGTAGCAGTAGAGCAGGTTGTTGAAATACGAATTTTTAAAGCACGCAAACAAAATATCACATCAGTTCTCCATAGCTTTTTTCAAAAACTTCTTTTGCATCTGAATTTTCATTCCTCCTACTGTAGCATTTGACAGGATTCATAAACAGCAATGATTGTTCAGCTTTTTTTTTGTTTTGTTTTAACTCTCCTTTTCTTCTTGGATGTGTTTAACAGTCAAAACTGACTGTTAACATCTGTCAATCAGCCGAGTATAACAGCACCCCCTTCTGGTTTTAACAGATGAGGTGGAATCTGGAACTCCCATCATGTAAGAAACCTGTATAGGAGAAACAAGATAAATGTGAAAATATTCTAAAACTAGATATTTAGTCATAAGAAACAGGCAAAGGAATATTAATGCCACTACGTTAGCCCAATCCCCAATTGCAGGGGCTGAGGAGCAATTTTAGAATGGTTCTTGCGAGCTATGAGGTAGCTCTGTGCAGGTGTGGTAGCCAGCGTGTCTTCATCACTGTATGCGGTGGCAGCACTCCAAATACCTGTTCACGCAGAGACTCACTTGATAGCAAGCCTTGTGTCCCACTGCTTCCTCCTCTAGTGTGGGCATAAAGGCTAATGATCCAAGTACCTGTCTGTTCTGGGCTCATGCTGCCTGAGCAGCCATTTGTCATCTCTTCTAATGTAAAATGTGGAGAGGATTGTCTGATGGCCCAACTCTGTGCAGCAAGTTAGCCTATCCTGTTTAATTAGACCACCACTTTGGCCTAGCAACTCCTTTATAATCTCAGTACTGATATCTTTAAACTTGCTTAGATTTTCAGGAAGAAGTGTCCCAGACACTGAAACGTTACGCTACCACTGTGTTTTGGCCATACCGAGCTGTATATTGCTTATGTGAGAATTGTTTCAGGGATCTTTCATGTAAAGTACTGCCTGATCATATTATCTATGTGCTTTTACTTTAAAATATGTTACAAAAACTCTCAAAACATTGATCATTAGAAAAATAAACATTAGAAAATAGAAAGTCATAGTAATTTGCTGTATGAGTTAACAGGTGACACTAATCAATTAAACTTAATCAAACTGCAACCAGCCACTTCTGCTGAAGGAAAAAAAAAACCCAACCCACCATGTAAGTAATACCACTGAGACGGACTGAAATCAAATCTGATCCTGCAAGCTGAAGAACAAAAGTGGGTGTTCAGGCATCTTTGTATAGATTAGCTTACTAAGCTGGGGTCTTTTTTCTCCACTGTTTTTTTCTGGTAATGCTTAATACAATTTAGTTTTAAAAAGCAGTTGCACTCCATGCTGTACCTAGGTGCTAAAATATGCACAGGACATACTTAACTATTAATACGTATCTTTTTGTTGCATTGTGTGGTAAAGGAGCATTATTTCAGGCATAGATACAATTGCAGTGGTAATGGAACAGAGTGGGGGAGATGCGCAATACTGAAGTTTCCTGAGTGGGAAAGCAAACTGAAGTGATGGTGTCATCTGTAGTCTCTCCCTCCAAACAGATCATCTCTACAGATAAATTCACACCTGAATATAAATGTTGTTGTCATTTACAAGATCCCGTTTTCTTGTGCTGGATGTTTGGAAGGATCTAGCCCGTGCTGCTTCATCTGCACAGCGATATCAAACAAGTAATCATAACACTCACACCTAAAATTAAAAGAAAAAAAAGTGAAACGTGAAGTAAGGCTCAAGTCTTACCATGTTTTACGAAAATCAATAGTTTTCTTCCTTGAGCTTTACATCACCAATGTAATGGTCTGACTGGACAGCTCTATTATCATTTATTTCCACTACTGCGGTATGGAAAGTGCACAGCATTTTTGCTACATGATCCGGATTTGCTGCATTTCCATCAGCAAATGAAGAAGTAAATTCAAAAAATGGGACTAAGGAAGACTACACAAACAGTATTGGCAGGTGTCATATAAAAGCAGAGATTGTCTGCAGGTGTCATATGAGGAGGGACTTGTCCATATGAAAGGAAAATGTTGGCAACCCTATCAGCCAGCATTGATATGAAAGGAAAACCAAGCGGTGGAATCATGGATGAACCCATTCCCAAAAGCTCACTATACATTCAGTGAGGCCAGAAATTAATGTTCTGAATCATTGTCCATGGGTTGGAAATACACGACATTAAGGTCATTAAGATTTTGAGGTATAATGGCAAAAGATACCATATTCCTAAATTGTACTCACATCGTTTTGGCTTTTTCCCATGTTTCTCCCCATACGTAAACTCCGTGACGTCTGACCAATACAGCACAAGAGTCTGGGTATTTTTCCACTGCACGTGCCATTCTTCCCTTGAGATCCTTCTCTTCTGGTGTATTCTCAATAATGGGAACCACTAGTGTATCATCATATCTAAAAGAAAAATGAATGCTCACGTATTTAAAAAATGCTGTATTTGGATGTATGAAGCATTTCCCTAAGAAAGATTCTCCTTTGACTGTGTAGAGATGTTAACAAATTCTCAACACTTGTGATTTTATGCTCTTCTCTTGTGAGTTCACGCTGTAACATAAGAACTCTCAGGAACATCTCTCACTCCCGAACGTATGCTATGCTGGCAATACCTCAGCTACACTTGAGGCACAAAAATAAAATAACACTTTAATGTATTAGGTGTAGCTGTTTGTTCACATATTACTTTGTAGTTGGGTCCCTTTACAACTTTTTCAGACTCTCTTAATCCTGTATTGGCATCACTTACAAGCTTTATCTCAGATTAAATTATTTAAAAGAATCACATCATGAAGAAGGAAATGAAGCTGTTTGCTGGAGAGCAGAAAAAAATTAATTTAGGTAATCCAAAAAGCCCCTGGAAATAAGATTGTCCTGCTAAGGCATATAAATAGAAAGTAGAGTCAACACATGAAAAATAAATTCTCTGTGATGGAGTCATTGGTGGGCTATATGTGATCTTAAGAAAGCCTGAGAACCCCAGTTCCAAAGACAAGATGATGCATGTTACTCAGTGGAACTTGCCTAAGAGTTTCTTCTGAAGGAGGACTGGGATATTTGGCATTGTTTGAACCTTAATTAACACTGGCAGAAACTTGTTTAAATAGTTTTAATAAGTCCCCTGTTCAGGTTCAGATTTATCATTGAGATCACATAGATATTTCACGAGTGGATGCTAGTAGTACTTACTTTTATAAAACACAGAGAAAAAACAATGGTAAAAATAATACAGCTTGTACTTCAGATCAGATATTCAGAAAATTAAAAAGTCTTATCCCTTACAGTTTTCAGTGCTGATGCTTTCCCAGAGAAGTCTATAAAAATAGTGAATGAAGAAAATTAAGTGGTTTTTGTAGGTTTACTTTGACTCTTACATGTTCTGATCATTAAAATTAGATTTGGAGTGTTTGCCACTAGTGACGCCAATGAGCTAAGGGATTGGTTTCTTAGGTTCTGCTTTCTACTTGGATAGGTGTTTGGAAGCAAATATAAATACCATAACTGATTCCTAATCATAACCATAAGTCTTTTATCAAGAACTAGTATCTATAAAACCCCAAGAAGACTCTGAATGAGTTAAATACTTGATATCTCTTTAGTTTTACTGAAGTATAAGCAGTCTACATTTAGCCAAATCTTCACGTAAAATATCTTGGGACAGTCTGAGACTTTCAAAGTTATTTACTACAGATCTAGTTCTCCTTCTACTGAAGTAAAAAGTAAAACTATTCTGGCATCACTGGGATCATATTTAAGCCAACAAATATTTCTGATTATCCTATCTGTAGCATTTTCCTTGATAGCTTCCAGAAAAAGTTTATGTAATTAGAAACAATATATTGTCAATCCCTTTTTCGAAAGATCCCATTCTGTACTATCGAATTTCTTCTGAATTCAATAGGGAACCTTGTGTGAGGTTAAGACAGTGGAATCAGTCTAGTATGGATGAATACGTACTTAGGAACAATCTAATCTGGAGCTTTGATTTCTTTAGTATTTCTGGTAAATTAGCAGGATGACACAGGACAACTCAGAGATATGGAACCCAACCAATACAATGTCTCCTGACTAACATTTACGAATATTTGAGAATTCAAAATGCATATTCAAAATAGAAAATTGTTGTGGATTTTTTTAAAACCAGTGTTCTTAAACACTTTAATATAAGGGGTGTCTTTTGCCACATTAAAAATACAAATGCTAATGCTGACAAGAAGGTAAAGCTGGCAAGTCAACCAAAACTGAATAAAATATGCCCAGGCGTAAAATCACATGCCAGACATATGGCTTGCTCCCTTGCCAAAGGGCATTAGTTAGTTACAAAAATTATCATGAAAAAGTGGAAAGAATTTAGCATTTCAATTTTTCATCTAATTGTCACATATTATATAAATGTTGTTTGCGGATCCCAATTCAACACTCTGTGGGTGGAGTCCTCAAAACAAGCCATCACACATAATTTGGAATAACTCAGCACTTACCTCAGAGCTCATCCCTGAAAAGTAATAACATTATCTTTAATGAGCTATTTATTCTGAATTTTCTTTCAAAGTCTGTCAAGTAAAATCTGAAATCCTCTACTCTCTTAACATGCCCTAAACTAGCACAGGCAGTGATATGTGAAGTCCACCCAAATGTAGTTTGTACGTTATCAATCCAACCTAATGTCGGTTGGCTCCAGTTTCAGTTTAACATTGTATAGATGTGTTAACATCTCTGTTCTTGAGATATTTGTCAGGACATAGCTCTTTATTTGGTTTGTTTCTGTAGCTCAACAGACCACAGTAGCCTTGACATTACAGGATTTTATCTCAGATCGCTTCCATAGACTTGAGAGCTTCTTAGGGAAAGCCAATGATTGATTTATTCCAGAGGTCTTTTTACTTCTTATTCCTAATACTTTATATTACACACTTTAACTCAAATGACGCACATAACTCAAATAACTTGTCATCTATTTATATTGCTAAAAACAAATGATCAAATAGCATGCCTCTTTTCTTAAATATATAGAAGTACCGGTAATAGCCTCCTGAAGTACACTTCTGGATTCCTTTTATCATCTCCTGATGGGTAATACTGAACTCACACCCTGGGTAAAGAAGGGTAGCCATAACAGCAGCCTTGGAATGAGTATGGATCACTGCACCTGCCCCTAAGAACAGAAAAAGAAGAAAAAAATGTATTTTTAGAATTAATTTTAAAATGTGTCTATTAAGAAAATTTTATTCACATACTTGATTAATTTCCTTTGGCTAGGCATCTTAGCAAATGGTCATCTACTGTGTTAGAGGAAAAAATACACAGCAACCTAAATAAAGGTATGAAATAATTACTTCCCTATAAAGGATAATTATGGATTGTCTTAACTTATAGTTAGTGACGAATTCTAGGAGAGAAACTACTTGCACAAATTCAAGAAGAAACACTAGTTGTACATTTCATTACATACTGCAATGACCGAAATACTCTATTAATTTTATCACAGTTCTGAGATTCTAAAGAATCCCAAACTTACTTGTGAGATTAAAGTTTAAAGACTTTTACTTTCTTTTTATGCTAGTACTCTTCTTTGATTATCCACTGATTCTCTGAAAAAACATTTATTGTTATCTTATTGCATCATGATGGAAAGATAGGTAGACAATAATTATAATTTACTTATAAAGTTGCAATGTTGCTAAAAATATGAAATGAGTTTTCCTCGCGTACACATGTAAGCTTCTTGTGCGGGAAGATCAGAAGAGACTCCCTAAATCCTTTCTAAAGTAACAGATGTAAATCTTACACAACAGCAACTCTCTATTACTGTCCACCTGCAAAAGAAAAGTTTCATACTTTTTTCACGTATCCATAATTTAGAACCTTTGATCACAGCCAATGGTTGTAAAAGGATTTAAACCACAGTCCCTAAATAGGTAAAACTACTGTAAATCTACTGTAAATCTGCTGTAAATCCCCCAGCTCCTCGCACAACCTACTAATATACTGCACTAAAAATGAGTGCCAAAAAGATGATCACAGGTATAGCTACATGAGAAGATTAAAATGTAAATGACACTGACAGGATGTTACCACGGATTACCTTCCATTGTCCATATTCCTTTGCAAATCAATTTATTTTATAGTTTCATGTTTATTTCACCATAACTTCCATGTATAAAGAATATGGTATTGAATTTCAGTTTTGTGGATGTGTATATACAGTGTTTCAGTCATCGCTGAACTAAAAACATTTGCTACACACCTCTCATAGTGTAGGCATTCATAAAAAGAGGCGTGCACTGGCTTTTCTTTAGTTTCTTGTGCGGTGGAGGACCACTGATGTCCTGTTCGTTCATGTCACAAACAAACATATCTTCTGGCTGTAAGAAAGAAGAAATTATTTAGACCTCTGATGACCTGAATAGTTTTGTTTTCCTTCTAGGGAGACAAATATATACACCATATATTTAATACAGAATGTGATTTTAACTTTGTAAAAGTGCTGTAACACACCACATTTATTCTAGCTTCTAATTTACTGACATTGTATAATGTGAATTAATATTAGGCACTCTTTTTATTCAGACTGCTGCCAAGAAGACATTTGTAAAACTAAAATTTTCTCAGAAAAGAGACAGCCTGTATCTAAATAACAGACAATAGATCAAAAGGAAAAGTAGTAACTGATTAAAAAAAAGAAACATAGATGTACTTTTCCTTCCCCCCTTAAAGAACCAACAAAGGACATGAATTAAACCTACATATAATATATTTAACTTGTAGAACTATTTTTTTAAACCTTGCTTTTAGTGGCTTTACATAAATGTTACCTTTGCATCAATCAGCTACTCATAATAGTACAAAGAATTGTTCAGGGCAGCAATAAAACTCTCTAATAGCAGGAAATACAGTTGCAAGAGATTTCCTTACTCACTGTGCTCAATCCACTGCTACTGCTAGCAAAGAACAGACCATCGCACTCTTGCCATGTTATGCCTTTGCCTGTCTTACTGGCTAACATCCCCAGTAAGCACTGCTGTGAAACCCCAAGTTTCTACCAGTGAAGAGATTCCTTTCACTTCTCATTGTATTTACCCTCAGATCTATAAAACAACACATCCTTTCCACATATTATTCTATTCTGGGGGAGTTCCTGTTGTCATAAAGTAGTTATCATTTACCATTCTCCCCTTCACTTATATTTTGGGGTTTTTTTTTGAAAGGAGACAGATAGACAAGGTCACCTTTTCATGGGGAGAGCCCATCTATTTACTGAGAATATCAAGACAAAGATTTGTAATCACTCAAATGAAAATAAATAGAGGTGAGTGTTAATGCTTAATTACCTATGTGCCACAGTAACTTGAAACTGTAGCCAGAGCACTATAAAGCCATTCAAGCTTGACAAAGAATAAAGCTGGACTTGAGTAATGTTCGAATGTAATAGTCTTCTGTATTAATTTAAAGCAAAGAGATCACCAAGACTAATCCACACTGGCCACTGAAACACATGTTGGCTTGCTATGCTAATGGAGTACTGGGTGAAATCCTCAGTTGTTTCAATAAGGCAGTCAATAGTGTAACAACAGTTTCTAACTTTACATAAGGAAAAATGAAACTCTAAACAAAGGTACTTTCATCCATCTCAAGATAAGCTCTGAGGTAAAAATACTCTTCAATGTACCTGTATTCTTTCCTTTTGGACTCCTGAAGGAGCGATGTAGATTTCATTCCTAAGAAAAGTTACAGACAGGGAAAATCAATTAACACAGAGTTGTTCAACTGCACAGGCATTAGAGCTCTCGATCCACTGAAAAGGAAATAGCAAATCTAGCCCCTCATAATTTAATAACTTTCTTGCTCCTTCCATAGATTAACATGTAGATAGTTTTCAAAATAGAACTGAATCATACAAGGACATACGAAATCTCTAACTTGTAGGGGTACAAACCCGTGCTTTCAACTTGACAAAGGACCTGAAACACATGTAGGAAGTGCAGCCTTGTTTTTCCTACAAAGAAAAACACACAGCCTCCCCCTATAATAATTCCAAACTCAAATCCCCAGAATTCAGAATAAAAATGGAACAAGAGAAACTGCAAGCAGATACTGATCTATGACAAAACAGGTGACAAAACTACTACCTAAAAATCCACAGACTACCCATAAACAATATTAATTATCTGTAGTATTTTACAACGTAAATACTTCTGGGTTTTGTTATAACTGTGTATTTTAGGTTTTTAATGCATTTATATATTTATTTATATTGATAAAAAGATAACACTAATTCAATGCAATTAAATGACAAATTCAAGTTGAAGTGCATCACTTCTTGAAAGGTTTACATGAACAAAGACTATAAAAATTGTTTTAAATTAAAATAATTTTCAAAATAATTGAAATATTTTCAATAATAGCAAAAAAAAAATCAAGATTACCTCTCTCAATTGTAATCACTATTCAGTTTCAATGGTAACATACTAAATTCAGGGGCACAGAGACATCTAGTGAATAATTAGTCAAGTTACAGATACATTTCCTAAGAACCACGAGATGTTTATATTTCTGGACAAGAGCACTTAGAAAAGCAATGAAGCTGGTGAAGGGTCTAGAGCACAAGTCTTATGAGGCGTGGCTGAGGAAACTGGGGTTATTTAGTTTGGAGAAAAGGAGGCTGAGGGGAGACCTTATTGCTCTCTACAACTACCTGAAAGGAGGTTGTAGCGAGGTGGGTGTTGTCTCTTCTTCGAAGTAGCAAGTGACAGGACGAGAGGAAATGGCCTCAAGTTGCGCCAGGGGAGGTTTAGATTAGATATTAGGAAAAATTTCTTCACTGAAAGGGTTGTCAAGCATTGGAACAGGCTGCCCAGGGAAATGGTTGAGTCATCATCCCTGGAGGTATTTAAAAGATGTGTTCATGTGGTGCTTAGGGACAAGGTTTAGCGGTGGACTTGGCAGTGTTAGGTTTATGGTTGGACTTAATGATCTTAAGGGTCTTTTCCAAACTAAATGATTCTATGATTCTAACTCTTCCAAAAATACAACTCGTAAAATGATGTACTCCTCATAGTGGTAAAACGGCTGTGAAGCACATAAAAATGTGGCTTTATCATATTTGTAATTTTTAACATTCATGAATTAACACTGCCAACACTGCATTAATTTAGTCTTAATTCCTTTGCATGAGCAAGATGATTGAGAGCACAACATACCAAGAAATCAAGTGGTAATTCAGTTACTAATGAAAGACATGCATTTTTTCTTAAAACAAATTTTTTTCTTTTTTAGAAATTAATCACAAAGGGAAAATCTGATAATGAAACATGGCCTTTGAAATATAGGACACCTGAAAAAGAATTCTAGATCCATTTTTAATATGCTATCCCATGTCCAAATTGGCATTTTTATTCTGAGTAGTTGATAGGAACTGCATAGTGAGTAACGCTGATTAGGATTAACTGGTAAAACCAGTTGTTAGAATTTCAGTCAAATTTCAATTGTTCTTTCACTATTTCCTATGTAACAATTCTAAGCTAGTCTGATCTCTGCCTCATAGCTATTAATTTTAAAAGTAGCTACTGCTACTGAAGGCATAAAACAGTACAGCCACATAGATTACTATTCCTAAGCCATGTACAATATTGGTATCAACTCAAATATGTATTTCGGTGTAGTCTGAGCAACCAAGTTATAGAACTGCTGAGGAAAACTGTATTACTATGTTAGTGTATTCTCTGTTGACATCATTTATCTTGTCACAACCAACATGAATCACACTGAAATAACGAAGAAAATAGGCTACATTTAGCTACTGATGAGAATTAGTGCTAGAAAGATCTTTCCATAGACAAAGAACTTTAAAAACAAGAATTAACCATCTTATTGTTCCTCTATTATTGCTGTTGCTTTGCTTGCAAAATCAAGCAGGGAAGTGAAATGACCTGCACAAAGCCATTTGAACAGGACAAATATTAGCATTTAGAGCCTTTACTTCACATAGATCTCTCTCTCATATATTTGAATAGCAATGGCTGTTTGTGTCTGCATGCAAGTGTACATCAGAAAAATGAGAGGTCAGACACTTTCAAGTTAGAGTGTCGCAACGCCCTGTGACTGGTGACAGAATTGCAGGCACTGTGCAAGGTGTTTTGCAGAATGAGGACTTCTCTTTTTTCAGTGGCCACTGAGAGGAGCTCTGTCTCCATCAAAAGCTTGGAAAGTATGAATAGGGGGAGATGAGCAAATTAAAAAGCAAAGTAGTGCTCCTTAGCAGTGGATACACACCAAAAATTGTTTTGCTGTTACCTGTCCTGCTTTAATTATATGTTAAGAATATCTCCTTAGAAATTATCTCAGTAGAACAGTAATTTCCTTCGTAAAGGAAATGTCTTGCCTGCAAAATGTCTAGGGTGGGATTCATCTCATCTAACCACAAGCATTTGAAAGCCATGTGCCTGGTGTAACCCACTCTAAATCCCACAGTCAATCAAATGAAAAGGGGGAATGCATTGTTCCTTAAAGACGATTAATCTACCTTGAACAAAGAAAGGAAAAGGACAGAAAAAAGTCACACACTGAAGCTGGCTCTCTCCATTGAAGTAACTGCAATGATTAGCCACCTCCCTTCTACATGGTTAAATGTGACGTACTGTTCATTACCCCCTCTATCTTCTTGCTCACTCTTGACAAACATTTTTCATGGCACTGAAATGCCCTCACCAACTACTGAACACAGCCACCCTCTCTCTCTCTAACCATCACATTCTTTCTCTTCCACCTTTACTTACCCATGTTTCAAGCTGATTCCTCCACCAGTTCCTGTTACCCAGCCTAAACCATAAAACAGTCTACAAAGCTCTGGGATAAGATTTCTTGGATGTAACTTCTCCTAAAAATAAATTAAAGAAATAAATTAAAAACCATCGGAAACATCACAAACCTAAGAATTTAAATTCTGAAATGGAGTTTAAAGGGGTAGTACTTTCATACTGCAGTATGACAGTCTAATTTGTGCTTATGAACTTCAGTTACAAAATGACTGCGTGTTTGCACAATGCCCTTTACGCTTTGCAGGGGCCATTCACGCCTTGAAACAAACAAACAAAACCTCCAAATAAAATGCATGTCTGATTATCGTTCACAGGAAAGGTCTCATCTCAAATTTATTTGAGTGCAGTGGCCCACAGGTATTACACCAGCGAGATTAAGTCATAGACTATTGCCATAAAAAAAGAAAGATTAATGCATCTAACATTATCCATTTTTAAAAGCTCATCTAATAACTTTTCCCATTGAATCAGTTTTCTGTAGGTTTATTTTGCTTAACTTACAAATTTCAATAGAACAGACTTCATTAGTTCTGTTATATAATACTTTTACATAGCAGTCAAAAATACCACAGAAAACATAGGCAAATTATTTGATGACCTTCACATTCCTACATTTTCACAATGTGAGGTTACCTCACATGCAGTTTAGCTAGAAGGCAAATTGCATTATTTTAATATTTCTTTCAGAAGGAAAAAAGTTCTTATTTTTTTCCATATTACATTATTACATCAATAAATATATGTATATCTATTTATTAACCAAAGGTGTCTAGTGTCAGAGATTCATTCATAGTTAATCTAAACCAGAATAGCTTTACAGTACAAGCCAAAATTATTTATTGGAAATACTAAACATTACTCTGCACCAAACATATAAAACTAAGAAAGCTGTACCTTACAGGTACCAGTCTTTGATAAGTGAGTACTACACTGGAAAATTAAAAAATTTGAATGTTGGAATCATTTACATGAGAAATATAACCAGTATACAGAGAGAAAACTGTGAGATGCTACTTTAATTCATGTTGTGTGCTTGAATTTATGCATTTGCATGTTGTCTTGAGTATTTCTTTTAGCTTATCTGACAGAATAAAAAGCCAAAGTCTTCCCCCATTTACCAGTGTAAAAATAAAAATCGTATGTGCTTTCAAAAATATCCTGATACAACTGAAGCCATCAAGTAAGGAATTAAACAGTAGAGAAACAAAGCAGTAATTTTATTTACATCAATTTATCTCCCTTGGATGGGGTAAGATTTCCACCTACATTACCACAGTAATACAGCTGGTTTTGTTTCTTATATGGATGTGTGATAGGAATCAGCAATTAAGCACAACAGATGTGCTCCTTGCATTGTTTTCAACAGAAAACAGGATTAGTTTTAGGAAGGCTAAACCCTTAGGTCACCAAATACATCCCCTCTTACTGCAGCCAACTCTCACATAATTCTTTTTACATATGTATTAAGCCTGAGCAGTACTTCAAACTTCAACTTAATAACATAGCACCATAACATTCTTCAATGGCACTTGTTTCTGAAGCGATTAAAGAACTGGGATTCAGTTCAGATGCTATTCCTGCCTGCTCTGATTTTGTTTCTATTATTTAGAGTCTCTTTTAATATATTAAAAAAATCATCTGTTTATTCATTTCAAGTGATAGAAACAAGACTTTAACCAGCACTCCTAGCAACTTACATAAGAAGTTAAGATTTTTACAGCACCATGAACCTTCATCAGTTCACATTACCTGAAACAAATAGAACTGCATATACAAGAGTACCTGAAGGAAAAAGACCTCAGGCCAAATACGCAAACTCCTACATTTACAGTGCAAAAAATCGGAAATCTTCCCCATTCACACAGCTGAAAATGAAACCACTCCTTTCCAGCTCTTTGCCACTCAAAATAGTAATATACATCAAGTATACTCTGACTAAACGTTCCTCAAATACTAATGACTCTGAAATGTACTGTGAATCTGTATGTATGCATGTGTCGTATGTTTACAAATACAAACCAAACACATAGTATGTGTAAATTATGGGTCCCAATTTTGTTGTTCTGATTTATTTATATAGAATTAATGGCTGTACATAATTTTTATCTATTTACCTGTCATGAAACTGAGTCCCACAGCATCTTGTTTTGAGTCTTATTCAAAATGACATCACTGTCTATTTCTAACCTATATACTACATAGGTATTTTTCATTTCAAAGAAAAATTATGTCTCTTCTCCTTTTGATGCAATAAGCTTATATCAAACAGGTTTATATTGCTATTATTTATTGAACGTACAAAGCCATAAAAAAACCTAATTATAACACTCCTACAGTTGTTTCATATTTTCCCTGTTTGATGAATCTAGACATTTACTGCAAAATTGGTATTCATGGGAGAAGATGAATACTTTTGACCACTTTAGATCATTAAAAAGAATTTTTTAAAGTTCAAATTCAAAAGCTACGTTCATCAAGAACATATGAAAATAAATATAATCAAGGAATTTTGACTATTTTTCTGAAGAATTCCAGGATTATAAAACAATCCTCAGAGTTTAACAGTATTTCTCCAGCATCAGTGGATAATGATTATAACCATAAACTATCTAAACAAAAATATTACTGATAATAAAATTACTGATAATAAAAATTACAGTTCTTTCCATAAGTAAAAAAGGGTACTTGCTGTAATAAGTCTGGGAGTAAACATGTGTGAAAGCCGCAGGAAACTCAACAGGATTACTCTTTGTTAAATCTCAATTAGCAGTACTTTTAAATTTGATTTTTAAGCTGAAGTACAGACGCCATTGGTTATCTCTTCCTTCATATCTCCAACTCACGATCTGGCCCATTAGTTTTCTGATACAGCTAACACGAACAATTTAGCTTCTTTGCTGCTATGCTGTTACCATCTTAGCCTAAGTTTCTACATGCTGTTACGTATGAAGGAAAATTCCACAAATTTCCATGAACTAAAGGAAGTGACTAATTTTTCAATCCATTAAATTATTCTTTTGAAAACAAATTTGCTGGTAAATTTCAAAACAGAAACGGACTGAAAGTATTCACTGAAAATTTAGAATATTTCCAGCAGTCAAATCTTCAAAAAATTATTATTGTATTCTGCAAGACTGTGATTGCTCAAGCAAAATTAGCTTTTTCCTATTTTATTCAAATTACTGTACCTAATATGATTTAAAAACCAAACCAAAACCAATCCACCCTCCCAACCCAAAAACCCAGAAAACAACGTGGATCTAATACAATTGAAAACAAGGTGGACCCAGGCTACTTGTGGAACAAACACATTTGTAAAGGTTTTGGGGATAATTTTCAGAAGGTGTAAAACTGAACTACAATGTGGATATTTTAAGATATTATAGTAAATAAACAGTGCCTGAAATAAGTATCTCCCTTTCATAAATTCCTTAGAAATCATATATTTTCCTCAGAAATAAGCACAGACTGCAGAGATGAAATCATACTGCTGGTATTTCATACTGACGGGTACTAAATCATGATGAAGTTTCTTTGAATAGTGATAAGTTTGATGTGGTAAAACAGATTTGTGCTACACTGTACACATAAAGTGAGAAAAGTACCATTAATAAGCTGGTAGATTTCTGTTTAAAATCTATCTTTAGCACAGAAATGGATCAAATAAACCAAAGCAAGCAAAAATAATGTCATGATCCTTTAAAAAGGTTTATTTTCTACAACACCTTCAGCACCATACAGGGATTCTATAATGCAAAAGGGAGGTTTTTTAGGTGAGAAAAAGAAATAATTGTAAGCAAGAGATAGGAAAGCAAGGTGGTAAGGATTCCTACCCTGCTTAAAGCCTCAGACTGTCAATTTTTATAGCAAGTACAGACCTCCAACTGAAACCAATCATTTATGGTGTGCCTTTTTTATGTTTTGAATTTTTTTTAATTGCAGCAATTAGAAGCTTTAATAGTTTTTTAAAAATGACAAGAGATTAGCTGCTCTACTGCTCAGCTTAGTCATTTACGCCCATGAAAGGACATTTCCAAGAGAAACATTTGTTTAGCAGCAGGAACCCACATTGTGGGGAGGGGGTATTCTGTTAACACCCACAGAATAAAGAGAACAAAAGCAAAAAATAAGTAGCACATACCAAAACTGGCAGGCAGGTAGTTACTTAGTACCAACACCTTTGCTGAAACATTAAGAAAAAAGTGCTGTTGTCACTGTTCTCTGCCCCCACCCCGATACCACAATGACTCTAAAGTTGTAAAGACTGAGTGATCCTTGATGGTCTAAAGTCAGACTGTAAGACTATAAGCAAAGGGGCACTGGGATTTTGTGAGCCTCTCAAGATCATCTCCTGGCCCTTAGAATCACAGCAAGCAGAGGCTTTGTTTAATGAAGCCCCTCTGAACAGACAGACCACCTGCATCTTGTTGCAGTTGCTACAGGGGGCTGCACGCCACAGGCAAATGCTTCCACTTGGTGCTGGATTTGCAGAACCAGGTGTGGGGAGGCAGTGGTGGCAGCATGTGGGAAATGGGCACGGGTGCAAGACAGAGGCAGTGGTTCTGAGGCAGGAGACAGGGAAGGTGAAGTGATGGAGACAGCAGCCTGGGTCAAGTTTGACAAGGTTTGGAAGCTCCTACTCTAACCTCATCTTTAAAACCTCCAATGACAGTGAGTCACAAACTCCTTAGGCAACCTGTCCAACTGTCCCAGGCTAGAAATATTTTCCTAATGCATAACCTAAACCTTGCTTGATGAAACTTAAACTTGTTATCTCTTACCAAACAGTTATGGACATAAAGAAGATGTTCTTCCCTTCAATCTCTGTGACAACATTTTCCATATTAAGATAACAGCTGCATTTGCTCCTCATTTTTTTTGACTAAGGAGATTCTTTCCCTCTTTCCTGACAGGCCACATTATCTAGTCTGCTGATGATTCTCATCTCCCTGTTGTTGGTCTACACTGTTCTTGATGCTTGGGCTGGTCTCTTGACCAGTTCCACATACAAACAGGACAAGTATTTCAAGCCTCATCCAGGTGATGCTCGCATATGCTCTAGCACGATGTTTGCTTTGTTTGATGAAGCGCAGCACTGCCGACTCGTGTTCAGGTTGTGATGACTTATAGTAATGAACAGTTACCAAACTACAAAAACCCCCAAACAATCAAACACAGAAAAAACCCCAAAACAAACCTAAAAAAAACCAGTTACCATAAATAAATAAATAAAAAGGGCCACAAGTACTGTAACTGCAGCCAGACTGGCAACATTTTGGTAAGTGTAGTAAATTTCATTACAACTCTATATTCTCTGCTAATTAGTAACTATGAAGATTACTAGCTAATTACTAAGGTTACAAGAATAGCCTCAACAACTGCAATTGTGAACTGCTATCCTGGAGCACCCGCTGACATAACGTGCCCCTAGCCAGACAGCGGGCAGAGCGCGGGGCCGTCAGCAGCATCACAGGTGGCCACGGCAGGGCCCGG